CCCCAAAACCCCAAAACCCCAAAACCCCTTGTATAGATTGTGATGTTGGAGTCACTATGGCTATAATGATTCAGTATCTCTGATGTAGCTGCTTGCATCGTACGATATGGATATTCAAGCGTTCCGAACTCAACAGCTTTGTCGCTCTCAGAGTCGACATAAATACTACTACTCCTTCACACACGACCCATGGTGATTTGTGGTGAATTTAGTTCAAACTTATTTTCATCTCATTCAGACACTCATTGCAATGTGTCTATATCCAACAGCATATCAAGATCGCACTGAAGACATTCATCTCTATGCATTCATTGATGATGGCAAGAGCTTAATCAATTTTGTCATTCACCAATAACTTTATCATAATAACTCCCACTATCTCACAAAGTTCAAAGATAAGTCGTCTTATCTTTGAACATAAAATCCTCTCATGTATCACAAGTCTGATGATCACTACAGGTTCTTCATGAACTATGTCACGGTGCTCAGTCTTGGCCGTAAAACCCAGGGAGGCATTCTCCTGGACTTGATTGGTGGGTTAATTCCAAGACCATTGCGATAAGGATGAAAACAAATTTGTTCTTTTTCCTGAACCTATATTTTAAGCCATCAAATATTTTAGTGAAAACCTTTAATATGCTTTTGATGAAAAGGCTATTTCAAATAAGAGAATCAAACAGAATGATGATGCGATGAAAATAATGGAAAATTTCAATTAATGAATTGCTTGAAATTTTGCAGTTTAAAATTCTATAATTTAGAGTTTATAAGACGATTTCCTTGGTATATCTAAATTATTTCATTTCTTGCAATGAGTCTGTCATAACTCCGCAGATTTTGAGAGTGAAATGGCTCAGATTATTCCAGAATTATTCAGTCTATAATAACCCGATTTGCTTGAACACAATGTTTTAGTAACACAATTGCGCTAATCACCAATTAAAATGACTAAGTCTCAAATATGATAGCAATCTAAGAGCTTTCAAAGTCAAGGTGTTTCAATGTTCAGGCTCTTAATCTCTTCTAGGAATGGAAAAGTGTTATACCATTTTCTATCAAATTACAGTCATTTTTACATAGATTTGTGTTAGAATATGTCTTGTATGTCTCAATACTGCCAATTCCTATTCTGGGGCTTTGTATCAATACTATCGATGCAAAATTCCACACATTTTTACTAGAAATTTTGCCACAAGCTTATTCCCTTGTATTTGAATTAAGGAGCACAAGCTTTGAAATTGATCTGAATAATTCTGGATAAAGAAAGACAGTTTTCAAACTCTTTACTTACGACATATTGTAATTTATAATTGTTTCAAAAATTTTGACTAAACTTGGGGTTTTGGGGTTTTGGGGTTTTGGGGTTTTGGGG